CTTCTGCTGAGCTTTCTGAGTTAGCCCAGAAATAAGTAAATAAATTGTTATTATAAAAGTGAAGGTTAGTGTTGTTAAAGATTTTGGTTTCAGTAATACAGGCAATGTGAATATTATTGTAAAGACAATAATTCTGCTAGGCTTCTCTTTTAGTTACTGTATTAAAATCTCTAACATTATGAATACAAATGTTTAAATGAAGGTCGTAAAAAGGTTGTGTTAATGTAGGTACTTGTGGTAGAGTATGGTTATCAAGAAAATCTAGGTTGTCTTGATTATTAGTAGATATGTATGGTGTTGATTCTTGTATGTTGTTTTTAGAGATAGAGGTTTCTTGTATTTTGTGTAATAGGCTATTGTGAAGTGATATAGGTAAGGATGGAGGTAAAGGGTATAATAAGGCTTCTGAAATATCTATTAAGTTAAATAGGCTTTGTGGTGATGTCTGTGTTGTCTTTATTGGTAAGTTTAAGTATCTAGTTATAAGAAATTGTTTGATTATAGTATGGTTTGGTAGTAAGGATTGTTCGTTTGGTAGATATATATATATTTCATCAAGAGATTGGTTAATTGAAAGAGTGATATTATTGTTGAATTTATAGTTTTTTAAATGATCTAAAAAGGATTTTAGTAACTGATTATGAGGTAAATATGGTAGATTGTGATAAGCAGAGAATTTATTGTAGCAAGTGTTGAAGTCACAGGATTCTAGAGATGTTGAAGGTGACTTCAACGGTATTTCTTTTACAAGGTTGCTTGCCATATACCCAGCTCTCACGGTGTTTAGAGAACTTGTAGTCTGCCCTGTACGTTGGGTCTGACCGTCATTATACCAAGCCTCCAGGTAAATGGGCTTTACTGCCCGCCTACTTACATCATTCCCTTCATTAAATACAACAGTTGTATCGATTAATAAAGTAGCAGCTGCATATACGAGACTATTCTAAATGCATTGTTAGAGACTCATATAAATGAATTTGAGATAGAAGATGTGCTTACTGAAATTGCTAAGCAAATATCTATAGATTGCAATATCTCACTACCAAATATTGTTATATTAGAACCTGGTGACCCACCAAATTGTAACAAAAATATTTATGCTACATGTGAGATGTATCATGATGATTTGCCTTGTAGCAATAACGATTGTCTTTATATAATATATGACCAAGCAATTTTTAGAAGATTAATTTCTTACAAAGAGATTTATAGTGATATCAGACTTTTTCTTGAACAGTGGCACACATTTAAAGATATATGCTGCATTCTAATTATGATATTTTCTGAATACAGAATCTTCAATCTTGTAGCAACACTTGGTGTATGATTTTTAAACAAATTGAGGTTTATAATAGATTACTGGGCAACAACTCGCATTTTGGAATTGATTTGGGTTGCTGTCAGGATTGCATTGTGTCAATATATGAAAAGTAAAAAAAAACTTTGAACTACATTTTAAATAGTAATAATGATTTAGCAAAAGTGTGGTATCTTTTCTTCTGCTAGACAGGATATTTTATAGGCCATAAAATCAGAATTAAAAGAGAAAATTACAGAATGCAAATGGCAAATTTGGCTGCATTCACATCTCTATTTCCAGTGGCTAGAAAGTTCAAATATACAAGTTCTGTAGCACATTTCTTAATTCAGATCTATAATAATTTATGACTACAAAAATTGTTACAAACAGTTTGTTTAGTAAATCTCACAAGCGAAAGACATTATTTTGCCTTTGACGAAGCACTTGAAACTTATAGTGTAAAATTTATCAAGCAGAATATAACAGGTAATCTTGTTGACCAACAGACCATGATGTTGAAAATTAAAGCTGTGCAAAGTAAAAAAAATCAGTTAGCAATGCTTCTTGCTAAATATATTGATGATATTGTGGTAAGCCAAAATGCTCGTATCATCAAGTCATACAAAGATTTACTTTGGTCTCTAGCTACAAAGTTACTGTCTGCTTTTGATAATCCAAATCTGCAACCTATTTTCTATTCGAAGATGTACCAGAAATTAGTGAAAAGGGTATTGAAAATATCCTTTCCTTTTATAAATCCATAATATCACGTTTCAGCAGGTACTTGCACAGAATGTGTACAAAACCAAGGCCCCAACTTCTGGACATCATTTGTGAAATATAAATGCATATTCTTATGCTAAACTTGCAAGTATAAAAAAACCAAAAATTAGCAAAGTAAACAATCTTATACAAGTTCAAGAAGATGCTTCAACATCATATCAAACATCACCTTCTAAGATTAATCTTTCAAGACAGATTCATTGTACTACCACAAAAGAAGAGAAAGATATACTTGTCGAATTATTTAAGATTAGAGAAGAAATGCTTGAAGCCGTAATCCCAACAGTTATGTTAAAACTTCAAACAATATCTACAGATTGAACTGAAGAAAGAGTTAAACAATATTATAAAAATAATTAGTGCAAGTATATTCAAAAATAAATCAAAAATCAAAAAAATGAAATTGGTTACGAAGTTCCCTGAATTCAGAATTCCAGGTTTGAATTCTTATATAGATCTTGTATTTTACTATTTTTATAAAATCTAAGATTTGCAATTAAAGCTTTATTAGTCTGAGACGAACAAACAACTATATATCCAAAATATACAAACTAATAAAATAATT